AGTCAATCTATTCAGTAGGTGAACAGCACACTGATGACTTCAATTATTATTTTTGTGTGTGTGAGAGGAAGATCAGCCCTGAGCTAACATTGGTTGCCAATCCTCCTCTTTTTGCTGAGGAAGATTGGCCCTGGGCTAACATCCGTGCCCATCTTCCTCCACTTTATATGGGACGCCGCCACAGCATGGCTCGACAAGCGGTGTGTCGGTCCACGCCCGGGGTCCGAACCTTCGAACCCTGGGCTGCCAAAGCAGAGGGCTCGAACTTGACTGCTACACCACCGGGCCAGCCCCTTCAATTATTTTTTTTAAGGATAAATATAACATCAGAAGCTATTAATGAACTATTGCCAGCTCAAGCTTAAACAGTAGTACTTCTTATTTGTGGATGTTGTTTTAGTGCGCATCTGCAGTATTTCCTCTTTACAAATGGAGAATTTAAAGCATAAAAAACAATATTAATTTGCTCCAAAGAAAAGTGATCAAATGAGCCAAAATTCCTAATTGTCATGGTAAGTATAATACGCACTTATTCCCTTCCTCGGTTTATCTCCCACCAAAACTCAAATTGTTTGACAGAAAAAAAGTAAAAGCAAACTGGATAATATACCTTGAATCTGTGTTACCATTTTTTTGTTACGTGTTTGGCTACAAGGTGATTTATACCTAAGTTATCTACTATATGTATTAATGCAATCAAGTGAGAAAAGAGAAATTGTTTTTCACAATATATTCAAAACGCAATGGAACTATGAACTTGACTTTAATCTTCCCATATAGAAGAGTCTCAAATAAATTTGCACTCTCTGTTATAGCTATCATTTCACCTACGTGTAAACTTTCCAAATGTTTATTCATCCATTTAACAAATATTTATTAAGCGCCAGGCACGGTGCTAAGCCCTGGAGCCACAAGCCTCTGACTCGTAGAGTTCTCTTGACACAGATGATATTCTATGACTTGCAAACACCATTTGCAAAATATCTCTTTTTAACACTTCTAATTTCTACATTAGAATATTATGATAATATCTTTACAAACTGCATAACAGCCATGTGGCTCTTCAATTCATGGAGACTGTTAAATAGGCCACTGAAGTCAAGTAAGAGTAACAACCACATATTATGTGATTGATGTTAGAGAAAAGTATAATTTATCACTGTAATTAGTACTATTTAGACAAATACTCTCACTTGGCTGAAAGGTACCATGATATCTAGTCTAAGCTACAATTAGACTTAATTTTTATCAAGCACTGAAACTACGTATAAAATTGTGCTTCCTAATCCCTCCTCAGATAATGCTTGAGTCTTGATTTAGAGGTAAGGAATTCTAATGTTCAAACATAGAAAATATTTCTGTCCTCCCACCACAACCTAGCAGAGTTTTCTGTAAATTCCCAGCCATTAATTAGTACTGAGTTTTAAGATTTTATTAAGCCACAGACAAAAGCAAAAACAAATGACAGTTAATAAAATCATAGTATTTCAACTGAACAAATTATCTAATTTGAATTCCCTGTTTTAAAGATAAAGAGACTGAGATCTGGAGAGATTTACTGATATGCTCAAGGTCACACAATTAATGACAGAGCTGTGGTTAGGCTTTCTGACTCCATTTCCAGTGCTCTTTTTAATATATAAAAGAAACTGTTGTAGGAAATTAAGAAGAAATTCTGAGAAAAAAATTACCTTTAATTACAAACATGAGTGAACCATAACTCAGATGCACTTAATAACCTCTAAATTAAAATTATGCTTTATTAAAAATAAGAAGTAAAGGAAGACAAAGCTGAAAAATGATAGATCACTCTTCTGGGATACGGCACTCATACAGGTCAATCCAGTTATTATCAACTTTAAGGGCCTGTTCCAATTATTTTTTAGTTCTGGAATTATTTCGTATTGAATAATACCTGAAATTAGCCAGTACCTAGGGTACTGGCTAGGGAGCAGAGATCTTTCTGATTTACAGCGATTTTTGTTGTAATAGGTTTTGACCAGGGAACAGTAAATTAAAGCTTGACTTCAAACTTTCACCTTAATTTCCTGTATCTCCAGTTTTGGCCTCTTCCCTTGCTACTTGTACAAAGGACTTAGTAAAGGACTTGAATCCCCACTTCGATTTCATTTTTATTTTTCAAAATTTAAATAGTTTGTTTCGTTGTTGTTGAACTTAACAATGTCTTCAATATTTCTGTATTTCTAAGAGTAAAACTCTGTTCGAGAAATGGATGATAAAGATTTTGCTAATATTTAAGTTGTAAAATACGTAAACGCTGGAAGACTGACTTTCATAACACTTTAAAAAGTAAGTGGTGCTTGAATGGCTAAGGAATTAGGGAATACTAGTCTAGCCAATTCATTTATCAAATTAAAATGGGTTTGCAAGCCAAAAAGACAGAGACTATCTCTGGGCTTCCATCAGCATTGGACAGTAAGAATAAAAGAAATGCAGTGTATATTTATAAGACTTGAATTCTAGTTCAGCAGGATGTATAAGTAAAACAAAGAGATCAAAGCAACAGATTGAGATGGTGATTTCTCAAACATAAAGTGCATTTGTGCTTCCTAGTAAAGTAAAAACAGTTAAATGAAAAGATGGGACATCTTTAAATGTTTTTAAAAGTCTATTGTACTGGGGAAATACAAAATATATATGTATCTATTTTGATATATTCATAGTGAACTTGGCGAACATTTATATATGCCGGCCGCTGATCTAAGCATTTTTCACATCTGAATCTATTTCATTCTCACAGCAACCTTTCCGGTGAGCACTATTATTATTCCCATTTTACAAACAAGGAAGCCAAACCACACAGCTAGTTAAGTGGCAAAGCCATATCTCAAATACAGTCGAACTCGAGAATTTGTGTGCTTAAGCAGTGTACTATCGTGGTTACTTCTTAAGCACTATCAGCTTTCTTGAATTTATCTTTGAATCATTTCAATATCAAAACCTAAAGACACATATCCCGATTAAACAATTTCAGTATGAAACCCTTTAATTCCACGATTGTCACATCTCGTGAAGTACCCTGCTAATTAATAAGTTGTTTCTCTAAATACTTAGCCTCTGCAAATGCATGTTACAAGAACTACGCTGGTGCTCTCACACAATGGAGTTTTTTTCAGTGGAAAACACGGCTGTGTACAAACTAAATAATTTCCATCCTCCAATTGTTACATGTAGTCCAGAGTTACGAAAACGTTCCACACGGTTGATGTTCTCCCTCAAGCTCACACTCAACAGATAAACCTGGCCAGTTCTACAACCCGAATCTCTCTCTAACCCACCCCCTTTCTTTCCAAACCCACTGTAATGACCACTGCGAAGGCTCTCGGCACGTCATGAGTCCCTCCAGCCTCAGATTCATCCGTCTACTCTAGGCTGGCGGTTCAGGCGCATGCCTGGTGGGGGAGGCAAACGCACCAAGAAGACTGATTGGGGCCCCTGTGCACTTAGCTTCAGTATCTTCTCAAGTCACCACAAATGGACACGAAATCTTTTTTTTAATAGATATCTACTATTTAATACAGCTTCAAGACAAACCCCCTATCCTCCCTTCTAGGCCAGTTGCCACCCCAGCCTTCTCACAGAAACATCCGGAACTAGCACTGACCTTCCACCATACTAAATCAATAATCCTTATAAAATGCAAATCGTCATGTCATTCCTCCTTCACCCCTTCCCTAAGATTTCAATTCCTTAGAACATCACAGACAGTGCTTCATGCTGTGGCCACCTTCCTTCCTCATCTCTCCCACTGGCCCACACCCACCCACGCCAGCCAGATGAAATAACCCGAGTTTCTCTGGACACACCTTGCTCTTGCAGGCCTTTGTGTTTTGCCCACACCACTCCACACATTAGAAACATCCTTCCTCCTCTTTGGACACCTGGCTAACTGTTGCTCCTAGACTGAGATTCACGTCAAACACTACCCTTCAAAAAGCCCTCCTTGAACTTCAGAGACCTACACCCTTCCTTTCAAAATTCTTCCCTTAAGCAAAGAGCTAGGATCATCCTCCTCTGGCTTCCCCTGACATCCCAGGTGTAAATGCCATTAGTCTAGTCTTATCACCACATGGTTCAATGGTCCTCACACAGCTTCATCACCACCCTGTACTAGTTAAATAAGTGAATCAGTCTGATCTTATTTATCATTGTCTCCTCACTGCTTCACACAACGCCTGGCACTCAGTTAATATTCAATGAACGTTTAATAAGTTGGAATTAAATTCTCTATACAATATAGTAATAGAGATATGTACATTAACAGAAAATATAAATAATATTGACAATAATGTTCACAGAAAATATCTGACCATTGTGACTTTCATAATAAAATTAAAATATTAAACTTATAGGCACATAATGAAATTTTGGACTTTCATGCCTCACTTGTTTAAATGCCTAAAATCATATTTCTTAAAAGTGTGATGGTTCTAATTTAAGAACCAGTTGTCACATGCTATATTAGTTCGGTTTGTTTGGTCATTGTTAAGTGGAACATATTTTCTTCTTAACTACAATAAATGAGTAACTTTATTATACTAAAAGTTGTTCATTTTAATTTTTTCTTTCCTAAAGGAATGACCACACGTGGGAGGAAAAGCATTTTCATTATCCTTTAACAAGATGAATGTCCTATTTTGTGTGATTTGGGACAGTTTTTTATCAAGACTGCCAGCCTCTGATGAACATTATGATTTTCAAATGTGTACTGTGCATTAAAGAACAAGAAGATATCATGAAATACTGGTGACCATTATATATTGAGCAAGGAAACTGGACAATGTTTCCAAGGGTTGTAAGGATTGTGGAAATGAATGTTACTCAAAGTAGAGTGGTGATTTATAACCAATTTCCGTCTTCAAATTAGGGCCCCAGTAAAAGAAAACGAAATTTAGCAAAGCATTATGGTGTATCATTTCCTGCAGCAGAACCACCCGCCCACACCAGGGCCTCACTAGAACGGCACAAGAAGCAGCCACCTGAGGGAAGCCCACAGGCTCGCAGGGCTACGGGCTGGCTTTTTGTCACCAAATGCAGCAGGTTGAATGCAGACATCACTGTGATTATCTTCAGCAACAAAACCAGAGGCAAAGAACAGGGGCGAGAGCTGAGTAGGAGAAAAAAGAAAACAAAAACAAGTTAAAATATCACAAATGTTAAACACATTCATTGCACAATTGACGGTTACGGTTTTATCTGGAACTGAACACACACACACGGTGCTAACAAATTTCGAATGCCTACTTTTCGAAGGGTGAGCTTACTTTCAACCCAGGCTTCTTTATATCTCATGAATAAAATGCACAGGATATAATAGCGTAATCTGTGAACACATTTTGCAAGAGGTTCAGAAAAGAGAGGAAGTTTAAAACAGTTGAAAGGAATTAGCATTTACTGAGTTCAGACCATGTGACAGGAACTGTCTGGGGCCTAATATACACATTGTATCATTTAATTCTTACAATAAACAGAGGAGGTAGGTTTTATCCCCCAATACATATGTGAGGAAACCAAAGCTGAAAGGTCCAAGGGCACAAAGCAACTAACTGGTGGAAGACGGCTTAGAAAACCGTGTGAGATCTGACTGCAAAGCCACGTGCTCGCCTCACACCACACTCCAGCAATATCTGCACGTCTCCCTCCCTGGAGAAGACGGGAAAATATTGTCAGATTGAGAGATTTCTTTTGTTCGAGTTTCTTTTTTTTTTAATAGAAAGCCAAATAACCTAGGGACAGCTCGGAGTCTTCCCTTTAGAACAGTGTTCAGTTTGAACAAAGCATAGTGAATATTTTCATTTGATTTTATGATTTTTGTGAAAAATCAAAAAATTTCTGGGTCGAATGTTTTTTTCAAAAAAATCAAACTTTCTAGGTCAATCCTGTGAATAATATTCACAATGTAGCCTTAAAAAGGGTAAAAATATTTTTTAAAGCTTTTGAAAACGGATCTTGTGGAAGAATCTCAAAATTGTGTGAGTGTTAAACTTGAGAGACAAGTCCAGTTAGGATTTTCTTTCAAGTTTTGTACAGTCTTTCAGTTGCTAAAGATTAACTTCAAATGAAGATGGAAAATAGCAAATGAACATTAACTTCTGGCATTTTATTTAAAATTAGCGTTACAAGTGACCTTAACCACTAAATGTCCAAAAATGGATGTAAAATTAACGTCTTGTTCATTTCCTGACCCTCATCCCCCCACCCCCAAATAAAAGTCTGTTCCTGGTCTCTTCTGACCTCCTTGAAGAACAAACATGCAATAAACAGTAATATATTTTACCAAATCACTCTGGAGTATATCTGACAGAAATCTGCTTGTATTAACACGCCTGAACTCTGACTTCTCCAATCCAAACTCACTACAAAACTAAAACATTTTTGTGTTACTAACTGGAGACAAAAGAGAGGAAGCGGGAAGGTAAGTATCACAATGCACAGCCTGAAAGAACCATTAAACATAAATAAACATGTCATTTTCACGAGTGACTGCAGAGCAGCGAAAAGAGAGCATTCCTTTGGAACAGACTACTGACTAATAAAAGATCAAAGGTCTATACCTCAGAACACTATAAATAAAAATGTATTTTCTTCCTCGTGACCTTCTCTGTGAGGAATAAAGTGTGCACGGTAAATGTAATTACTTAGCAAAGCTGCAGCCTCCTTGTGCTCCCGCAGCTGACCGTGAAACGTCTTCCTCGCCGTTTCATCAACTGTGGTACCAGGCGGCCTGCGCGCCTACCGATGGCCACGGCCATCTGGCTTGTGTCAGAGCCGGCGCACAGGAAGAAAGGGAGTGATGTCACTCTGCAGGTCAGGCAAAGAACAAAGATGCATTCTACAATTAAAAGCTCAGGGCCTCACATACCGGGGGGCCCTCCAGCACGATATGACTGGGTGATTTAATGTTCCCACTCTGTCGTGTTGACTTCTACCCAAATAGCCAGGGCTCCACCTAGTGGCAAATTAGTTTTGCCCGGTTTTCTTTAAAAGCAAACCCAGAAAGTGCTACATTAGCACCAATAAAGTAGAACAACTAAAGTGGTCAATAACTTTTAGAGCAGTCTTGTCTTTTCACGCTGAAGAATGCAAAACGTATTTTGTCACAATGTTCTCCATTTTCAAATCCTAAAAAGCATGCCTTTCACAGGTTAGGATTTGATAGAACCTTAATTATTTTAGTGCTTTAACCCTAATTATAGTAGAAAAAGCAGCTGATTTTGCAAAATGCACGCAAAGTAACATTACTTCACACTACTCTGAAAATGTATGGCTGAGATGTAAAGTGAGAAGCTTCTAAAGAATGGAAGAGGCCTCTGGATGCCTCAGTGACATCAAACTCATACTCTCACACTTCCGCAGAAGAAAAGAATCATAGTTAATATGACTCAACATGCAATACCAAGAGCAACTCTTCTCTAGGACAGAAAAAGAAATATGTTCATGCTGAAATTATTTAACAAAATTAATTTTTAACTAATGTTTTCCACTTAGTTTATGTTTACAGTAAACGAAATAAAACACTTTGACAACCGATCTAAAATACAGAATGCATTTGCATGAAAGATGGGCCATCACCATGGCTGTGTGTGAGCTGTGGGGTCAGATGGCCTGGGTTGGAATCCTGGCCCTCCCCCTAACTAGTTGCATTATTGTGGGTAAGTCACTTAACCTCTCGGTTACCTCAACTCTAAAATAAGTTAATTGGTAAAAAGCATTTGGAACAACTCCTGGCACACAGTCTATGCTCAGCAAATGTTGGCTACTATTATTTAAATGTACAAATAATCGCTATATTTTAAAATTATATGAGTTAGAAATTTCTAACAGTCCATTTATACCCAATACTACTTAGAGTTAACATGCCATTCTCCAAAGATAGAATCCCCTCTATACCAGAAAACTTACTACTCTCTGATGGATTTCCACAGTGAATTATCCTAACAAGACGGTGGGTCAAAGATACCCTAAGGACAGCAGTTGACAACACCCTCGGCATGTGGCGGGTATTACTGTAAACACCCCACGTTTACCAGCTCTTTCAATCCTCGCGGCCTTATGAGACACAGATTATCATTTTCCCATTCTTAGACATAGAGACTGAGACATGGGAGGTTAAGGAATTTGCCTAAAACCCTACAGCTAGGAAGGAGCAGGGCCCGTAAGGAGTGGCCGGAATGAGTTAATAGATTTGAAGCCAGGCCGTCTAGTCCAGGGCCAGTGCTCTCGACCACACACAACTGGCGGTGAAAAGCCTGAGCTCGTACCAGCCCACCCTAGACGCTCTGCTGCTACGTTTCCCCACTAGCTAATGTGGCTGATAACAAACACTTAATAAGCACTCGATTAATTCAAGAAGATTATTTGCAGATTCTCTCTCTAGACACTAAGGGAAAACAGTAGGGAGTTAAGGAAGTAAAAAGTCTGAGACGCACTAAGTTTCTGGATTTGATCTCTCTGTCCCACCAGATGCAATTTCCCTTTCTCTTTCACCTTCACAATGTTTCTTTAGACTCCTTGGATACACCCTTAGGATAGATCCTAAAGACGCCCAGAATTGAACCTACCAAAGCTTCCGTACGTTGAGGATACGGTCAAGTTCCACATCCAGCTGCTGCCTAACTCGTCAGCCTTTTCTCTTGCCATACCTCTGCATCACGCCCCACCTCATCCTGCTCCTGCCACATCAATATGCTAACTCCCCCCAAGAGGGCCACTGTGTCTACTCCCACCCCTATGTCTTTCTTCATTCCATATCCTTACTCTCCTTGTCACCACTCCCCACACTTGCTGCTCCTAACCTCTCCTACCCTGGTCCTGGCCACTCAAGTAGCCGTGAGATCACAGCCCCTACAACAATTTCCAGGGCATTGACTTGCTTACATCTCTGTCTTTTTCTTCTAGATTATAAACCCCTCAAACACAGGGACGTGTCCTTTTCATCACTGTGTCCCAGTACCTGGCACTACCAGCCACTCATGTGTTGAGAGAAAGAATGACCGTGTAAGTGATTCTACGGAACAGACTGTTCAGGATCATCACTTCCCACCCTGCTCTCTCCGCCATCTCAACTGCTAATGGTGCGTAAAGGTCATAATCTGAATTAAACCCAGTTAGTTCATAGGAATTAGCAGTTCCTATGAAGAGATGGGAAGTTGAAAATACAATCTCACGTGAGATCCAAAGATAACTCAAATGCCCTATTTCAGTCAAAAATTTTTACTTCTCCATCCGGAACTCTGACATCCAAAAATTTGACAAAAGTTAGTTCTTTGGTTGGGTTTATTTTTATTTCCTTTTACTTTTTTCCTAGCAGTTGAACAATAAACTGCCAAAGAGAGAGGGTAGAAACAGGGAATCCAGAGAAGTCACAAAGTTGATAACCAGCTCCAGAATAAATGAGCGAATGGTGCTGGTGGATTTAAGGTGTCAAGCCTAAAGGTCAAATCTCTTTCCAATAAATGCCAAAAGAGTGTCTACATCACTGGTTTTCCACAAGCTAGCAAAATGTCCCCCCAAAACTGCAGGGGAAAACAGAGTTGACAAATTTAATTTTGTCAGGTAAGGACAAAATAAAAACAAAAAGCCCCAAATCCTAATCGCACCACAATATCAGAAAAGAAAGATTATGTTAACACCAAGAACTAGGAAAGCAATCTCAAGATAAACAATAGACTATATTTAGTTTCATGGGAAAAAAATATTCATTGTCGCTATTTTTCTCATTTCATTATGAAAAGAAGAAACTTCATCATGGGCCAGCATTCGGGGACCACTAATCTAAATGTCTACTCTAAAGTTGCATAAAAACACTGTTGTTCTTATCAGCACAGTGCCTGGCACCCCGTTTATGCTCAACTAGTGTTTGTTGAATGAATTGATCAATCATTTACTTCTTGAAATCAAGCATCCCTTTTGTTAAGCAGAGATCTTTCTGTATGTGTTTTAAGAAACAATAGAACCCCAGCTATTCAGAATCCTCAGTCAATCTCCCGAACTATTTAGAGATAACACTTTTAAGATAAGGAATTTTTAAAACTTAGTTCACCTATATAAATTCCTATGGAAAACGATATACTAAGAGCTGATGAATATGCAAAAATATAAGATATAATCTGTGCTGGGGCTGGCCCCGTGGCGTAGCGGTTAAGTGCGTGCGCTCCGCTGCTGGTGGCCCAGGTTCAGGTCCTGGGCTCGCACCGAGGCACCACTTGTCAGGCCATGCTGTGGCGGCGTCCCACATAAAGTGGAGGAAGATGGGCACGATGTTAGCTCAGGGCCAGTCTTCCTCAGCAAAAAGAGGAGGATTGGCATGGATGTTAGCTCAGGGCCGATCTTCCTCACAGAAAAAAAAAAAAAGATATAGTCTGTGCTGTCACAAAACCTGTTAGCCTAGATGGAAACATAAGGTACATGCTAAGTGCCTTAACAGTGGTAAAAATAAAGTACATGAATTTCAGGGGGAGAAATATTGTGTCCAGCTTTGGGGGAGGGAGTGGCAGGGAAATGGGGGTGTTGAGAACCAAAGAAAAGCTGCATGAAAAAGAAATTTTTTTTTAAATATCTCTAGGGTTAGCCATTTTTAAACCTTCTGATCCCAAGATCCCTTCATACTCCCACAAATTATCAAGGACCCCAAATGCCTTCTGTTTATGTGTTTACACCTATCAATATGTACTATATTAGAAATTAAAACTGAGTAATTCAAAAAATATTTCCTCATTCCATTAAAAATAACAATAAATAAAAAATAAAAAGTATTGTAAAACTGACATTTTCAGTGAAAAATAACTATATTTTCCAAAACAGACCCACATATATATTCATATAAAATGGGACATTTTACATTTTTGCAAATCTCTTTAATATCTGGCTTAACAAAAAACAGCCGGATTCTCATCTCTACTTCTACATTCCAACTGCCATGATGTTGTTTTGACTGAAGTATATATATATGAATAAAATCTTGCCTCACTCAGATAAGTAGTTGGAAAAGGGAAGAGTATTTTAATAACTTTTTCAGATAACTAAAGATACTCTTCTTTGATATTACACCAAAACTCAACAAGTGATATTCTGAAACTATTATCAATGAACTTTTCATACTATTACATTAAAACTCATTGGTCTACAATAACAAGTAAAGAGATTGAAATAGTAATCAAAAACCTCCCAAAAAATAAAAGTCCAGGACCAGATGGCTTCCCCAGTGAATTTTACCAAACATTCAAAGAAGATTTAATACCCATCCTTCTCAAACTATTCCAAAAAATAGAGGAAGATGGAACACTTCCTAAATCATTCTATGAGGCCAACATCACCC